TGGTGGAGGAGGAGGAGGAGGAGGAACAAGGGATCTGAGGATTCACCTCGAGGTTCTGCCGGTAAAAAGAAACAGCCTGAGAGTACAAGAGCACGTCAAACCTCCGCGTCGAAGACTGAGGGAGAGGAACCTTGTTGACTAGGATTTCCTTGGGCCTCATCAGGTGTCGCAACAGCACTCCGAAAAGATCTGTCCGAAAACTCACATGAAAAGATTTTCCAGCTCAATGGCTGGACTTCACCTTCCCCAAACCAAGACTGCAGGGTTGAACGGTAGAGCGAGTTGTGCAAGATCGCTGGCAGGAAGTACTGGAAGGTAATTCAGAAGGGAGACGTCGAGTTTGAGGAGGGGGAGAAAGAGGAAAGAAGGAGGGAAACAGAGGAGAGCTCAAGAGAAGAAGTGAAGATGAGAGGGGTGAAGAGAGGCTGGGAGGAGGGGAGAGGAGAGGAAAGGGAAAGGGCAGAGACGAGCAGGAGCAAGGGACCTGATCCGAGAAGACGAAGAGGAATCTTTTCTTGTAAACCTCGCTGATGTCCTGCAGGGCCTTCAGAGCTCTTTCGCATCCCCCGCATCCTCAGCACCTTGCACAGCAAGTTTGGAAACTCGAGAGGGTTCTGCCATCTCAGGTCGAGCAGTTTCGAGTTGTCGTAGATGTACTGGAGGAGGAGCATCATGGAGCGGAGGGCGCGAGGAGAGGGTCACGTCATGCGAGAGCTGGTCGGCTACCATGGAGTAATGCCACAGCAGACCCTGAAGGATGGTGAGGACGAAGAAGCTGTGGAGAAGGAGGGAGGGAGGGAGGGAGGGAGGGAGGGAGGGAGGCAGGAGACAGGAGGCAGGAGGGCTGAGGGAGGGAAGGAGGCGTTAAGAGGGAGGAGGTAAGAGAGAGGAGGTGAGAGGGAGGAGGTTATACTGGAGGAGGACGGAACAAGTGGTGGATGGTTGTCGAGTCGACGAGGAAGACGCGATTGGTCAGGAGCGCCATGGCGAAGGCTGAAGAATTTCTGAGGAGAAGAGGCGAGGAGAGGGTAAGGAGAGAAACCTGAAACCAGCGACTCAAGCTAAAGGAAGAAGCGACATGTCAATAACGAGCTGAAGTAGAAAGGGGAGGAAGGAAAATCGACAAACAAAAGGACAACGGTGAAGGACGACGGGAGAGAAAGGGAAGAAGAGGGACGAGAGGAAGAAGGAGGGAAGAGGGAGGAGGGAGGAGGGAGGAGGGAGGAGGGAGGAGGGAGGAGGGAGGAGGGAGGCGGCGGAGGAGGACGAAGGAAGTTGAAAGGCAGCTCTCATACCTGATTGCCAAGTCCCCTGTCCATGGTGCGATAGATCAAGAAATTGTTTGTTTTCCAGAGGCTCTTGTCTCGCATGACCTAAAGTTGTCAATTAAACCCCTTCCATCGCACCCCCCCCACTACCAAAAGTTCTCCTCCTCTCCCCCTCTCCTCCTCTCCCTTCTCCCCGGTCCCTCCTCATTCCTCTTCAACCGCTCCTTCCCTCCCTTCCTCACTTGGCCATGGAAGTCGGAGTATGCAGAGAGTACTTCGTCGCCCTGCCCAGCCTTGTCAGCCTCCCCGCAAGCTTCTCCCCTTCCACTCTCCTTCTTCATCTCCTCGTAAGTGAGTCGACTCGCCCACCTGCGAGTTTGCGGTATGTCAATGTCAGGCTCAAGTCAGCTGGAGCCACCTGGACTTGAGCAACCGCAGGTCCTCGCTGTCCTCCTTCCAGAGCACGTCGAACTTCAGCTCCTACCGACAGACTGCGATCAGTCTGGAAGTTTCGACTGCCATTCTTCAGCTGTCTTGCCATACCACCGTACACCGTCCCCTCCTCCTCCTCCTCCTCCTCCTGTCTCCTCCTCCTCCTCCTCCCCCCCTTGACTGCACGTACATCTCCCCACCTTCATGTCCGATGCTACCGAAGAGAATCGAGTTCCGGAGGCCTCCATTTCCCATCTGAACCCAAGCATCGCATCACTATCGAATCCTGTCGCCCTTGCTCCCTTACGATTCCAGCCCCGCCATCCCGTCGAACCCGTCTCCACTGCTCCAGGTCGCTTAGCACCTAGCTGCACAACAGCTTGCTCTGACCGAGGGCCTTCGGCAGACACATGATACTCCTCGTGCTCCATCAGCTCCAAGTACCTCCTGCACCTTGTTTCATCCTCCACTCCTGCACCTCCTTCCTCCCCCATCCTCTGCTCCTCCTCTGCTCCTCTTCTCCGCTCCTCCTCTTCCCCTGCCTACCGAGCCATGAAGGTCACGCTTGCCACGTGCTCAGTCGGCCTGTCCTTCCTGCGCTTGCGATTACAACGGGGGAGATAGAGGACAAGGCCTGGTCACTTGTCGAAGAACCTAGCGTCGATCCGGTAGTTCCTGTCGTCCAGCTCCGTCATGGCGACCTCGAATGGAGGCTTCGACAGCCGTTGCCCGGTATCCTGCATCATCTCCATCATCATCTCCATCATCATCATCATCACCATCATCATCTCCATCATCATCATCACCATCATCATCATCATCACCATCATCATCACCATCATCATCACCACCACCACCACCACCACCATCATCATCCTCTCCAGCCCTTCCTACATGTCCGTTCACGAAGAGTGCGATTGAGCCATCTGCGCTCAGCAAGTCATTCCAGATGTCGCGATCGTCTCAAGGGTCTTTCCTTGGGGGAACTTAGCGCCTGACACGTCGATGGAGATCTTGAGCGGGTGCTCCTCATCGATCCACACCCTGCTCCTCCTCGTCAGCCCTGCCAGCACGCCCCCCTACGAGCACCTAGATCCATCCTGGGGGCTCGTGAACGCGAGCTTCACGCCCGGTTGACCATGGCAGCTGGACACAAGCAGGAGCAGGAGCAGGAGCATGCTCGAACCAGGCCTCATCTCGCTCATCAGCATCTCCGAGCAGCTCCAGGAGCTCAGCAAGACCCTGCAGGTCATCAGCGGACGATAGCGGGCAATGTTCAATCCCTCCTTGTCTCCCTTGTCTCCCTCCTCCCAGCCGTTCTGCCCTCCCCTCTCTTCCAGTTCCATCCCCTCCCTCCCTCTCTCCCCTTATATCTCCTCCTCCTCCTCCTCCTCCTCCTCCTCCTCCTTCCCCATCCTCTCTCCTCCTGTTCTGCGTCATACCTCGCATAGATTAATCGGGGCTTGCCCGACAAGTGAAGGATGTGGAAGGTATGAGGATGACACATTTTACTTAGTAGCTCACTCGAATAATTCACTACCTTGATTTAGTTACGGGATACCAGCACCTGCGGGAAATGTAATGGGATCTAGGGGATGCATCGTGATGGTATGCGGAGCTCCTGGGACGGGGAAGACGACGATGGTGAAGGCGATGGAGGAGGAGATGAAGAGGAGAGGTGAGAGAGAGGAGAGCATGGGGGAGAGATGAGGAGAGGGGAGCGAGAGGAGATGAGATAGGATATGTGGGTAGAGAGGAGCAAAGCGACGAGGGGGGGGACAGGGGAGCAAAGTTGGGAAGGGAGAGGAAGACATGAAGAGGGACGGGAGGGGGGATTCCGTGAGTGGATGAAACGAGGCAGTAGGGAAGGAAGGGATGTGGGGGTCAACTCTTGCGTGTGATGATGTAAGATGTGTGTTGAAATGATCTCATCTGCAGCATGCAGCTTGGAGGAGCAGTTCGTAGAGCATGTACGCGGCGATGCAGAACTTGATGAGTTGTGAACGTGCCTTGCAGCTCGGGTACTTCCCGGAGACTCTCGTGGTGAACTTCGACCAGCTGCATCGGCAAGTCTCGGCAAACCAGCGGGGGCAGTCTCAGGAGGACGTGCCGGAGTGGAACGAGGAGGAGAGGGAGGCCTGGAAGTCAGCTAGAGTATGCTCCCTGCTCCCTTGCTCCATCATTGAAGCTGCACCGACAGCACCTTGCTTTTCAGCGGGTGGAGGAGAGGCTGCGCGACAACCCCGAGGTTCTCATCCTCGTGGACGACAACCTCTACCTGAGGAGCATGCGGTAAACAACATGCAATGCTCCTTCACGTGTCGAGGTCGGTGAGCGAGAGGACCAGATACTACTTCTGCAAGATCGCCCGCAAGCATCATGCCAGCACCTGCACCCTCTGGGTATCCTGCGACGTCGACCTGGCGCTCCGACGTAACGCGGCAAGGTGCCTACAGCGACAGTGAAGGAGGCTGCGTCTCTGACTCGTGACGATGCAGAGAAGTTCAGGATCGCGTCCCTCCGGCTGTCGTCGAAAGGATGTTCGACAAGTTCGCACTGAGATGTCATGACGGCTCGATAGCGCTGACCTGACGCTGCAGGTTCGAAGAGCCAGGATACACACCGAGCAGCAAGTCTTCCTGGGAGAAGCATGCGGCGAAAGTTTGTACAGGTGAGACTAGAGCAGCAGCTGCCCCATCCCCCTTGACTGCCCCCAGACGCGAGTTTCACTATCCCGTGGGATCTGATCATAGAAGCTTTCAAACACCCGCACACGGCGGAGGAAGTGAATCCCGACGCTGAGCTGCAGGCAGAGGAGGTGAGGGAAGCAATTTGGGTGCTCCCTTGACAGACGGGTGTCTCCTAGGACAGGAAGAGGACGAGAGAAAATCAAACGCACAGGCTTGATCTGGAGCTGAGAAAGGTTCCCAATCTTGACGGCCTGCCTTCCGTCCGCTCTGTGAGTTTGAATTGAACTAAGTCCAGGCTGTTGGATCCTTCATGTCTCGAACCGCAAAGTCCTGCCCCAAAGACACGGCAAAGGTCCTCCTCCTCCTCCTCCTCTCCTTTGTCTTCGCCTCCTCCCTTCCTATGTCTACTCCACCTCCACCTGCTGTCTCCTCTTCCTCCTCTATCCTGTATCTCAACGCTGATGAGAGAAACTGTCCAGGGGCTGTCTCAAAGATGCAACGAGCTGAGGAAGTCCTGCCTTGAATCTGTTTGCCTGTTGTTACCCTCCCTCTGTACCTACTGACCTCTCCTCCCGCTGCAGTTCAAACAGTTGGTAGACCATGACATCACAAGTGGGGAACTTGCGGCAGAGGTAAGCCCTCCCTGCCCCTGTCTGTGTTGAGCCCTTGGGACTCAGGAAATTCTGCAAGAATTCGAACTCAGGCTGGAGGAGATGAGTCTAGCCAAGTGTTGATACATCGGATGTATAAAACCTTATCTTACTACGTGAACACAACATCAAGTCGCTCATCACACCCAGACGCCTGCGAGCGTCATGCAGATCAATGCCATGTTTGTCGAGGATAAAAAGGCTGTCGACCCCCCTAGTTATGAAACCTGCTCCCTCCTCACACTTCTATTACGAAATCGTCATAGTAAGGTATTACATTGCCATGATGATGTCCCTACGACGCATCGTCTACCGTCATCTGATCATTACCATGTCTTTGATTTGATCTGCCTGAGCAAGCATTCTTGACTGGCATGCCTTGTGAATCCCTCGATCTCACTCGTTGATTCGCCCCGCCATAGGGATCCCCCCCTCCCCTTCCGCCCCCTCCCCCCCTTTGAAAAAGAATATGGTCTGCCGAGCATCGTTCGAATGCCTCATCAACTGCTCTCGTTGTCATTCCGGCTCATGTTGCTGTGCTGATCTGCTTCTTATCCTGAGCCTCTTGCTCCATGCTCTTCTTCTGCGCCAACTCCCCCCACTACACCCTCTACCTGTGCGTGGTTGTGCATTTCATGCCCATGGGGGGGAAGAGAGGGTGGGGGGTAGCTCTTTCAGGTATAATCTATAGCATCGGTGGGTACATTTCGTTAGGATTGTGGGTTAGGTTATCTCAATGGGGGTGGGGGTACTTTATATCTATATATTATCTCATGACAAGGATATACACACCATTTGTACCAAATTCCTTGGTAGTACCAGGAGCAGCCCCCATCCTAACGGCATATATAATAGTAATAAATATCAATACTTTCTATTTCATATCGATTCGGTAAAAACCATACTTAAAACTCGTATATTTAAGGGTTTTAGGAAGCGTTTATGTACCTAAAGGTGGTAAATATTTTAACTTTAAAATACTGTTTTACATTCCGTCGGGATAAAAGGATGGCGTGGAGGGCGCCAGATCGATCCTCTGCCCCCCCTTCCTCCTCCTCCTCCTTCTGGTGCTTGTTCTCCTCCTCCTCCTTATTCTCTTCCTGTATTACGACCTCCTCGTTCTTCGTTCTCGTTCTCGTTCTCGTTCTTCTTGACCTCAACGTCCTCATCCTCCCAGTCCTCCTCTCGTTGCTTACCTAGATGACTGATGTTCCTACCCCCAACTTCCTACCCCGCCGACCGTCTTCTGTCCATTTGGATGTCGCGACTGCCGGCATCAATATGATTCCTTACGGCTCATCCTGCCCTTGAAGCCATTGTTCCCCCTCCGCCTGTTTCTCCTCATGCGCTATCGTTGATGTCCTGTATCGGGAGAACTTGATTGGGTTCAATGCTGTTGTGCTGAACTTGTTGTTTCTTTGCAGATACTCCACACTCTTTCCTCATGCCAGTCTTACTCTCGGACTTCTCTCGTCAACCATCACACGTCTGAGTCAAGTTGCAACTTCGCTCGTGGTAGCTCGGGGCTGGCGTGCAGCCCTCGAATCAACCTCCTCCCCTCCCTCCGCCTGTCTGCATCATGACTTGATCTCGTCACCTCCCCCGCGTCTCCCTTGAGCATGGGAAGCTTTGTGAGATGGAGCAGGGGAAGAAGCGAGCAGCAGGAGCGGAAGAGCGCGATAGGCAGTTGGACCAAGAGGCTGGAGGAGGCCAAGTCGTACGAGGAATGGCTGGCGGCAGCCACGAAGCTGGATGAGCTGCAAGGGGCAGAGGCCTGGAAGCGAGACCCCTCCTCCTCCCTCTACGACTCGCGGCTGATCCAGGAGCGGCTGTCGGAGATGCTGAGGCTGGAGGCCAAGGCAGACTACTCGAGTATCGTGTTCTGGCTGCGGTCGGGGCTGACGAGGAACTTGGGCGGGACGGGGAACGAGGGACTCTACAACCAGACGTACGTGGGGACGAAGAGGCTGATAGAGAGACACAACGAGGAGCTGGTGAGGATGATGCTGGGGATCTGTGAGTGCAAGGAAGAGGAGCTGTCGCTGCAGGAGAAGCTCGACTTCTTCACGGAGTCGCGCCATGCCCTCGGCAAGACAGCGCTGCTGCTGTCAGGGGGAGCGAGCCTGGGCATGTACCACTTCGGGGTAGTGAGAGCGCTGTTCATGCAGGGCCTCCTTCCTCGCGTCATGTCCGGAAGCTCGGCAGGAGCCATCGTGCTCGCGATTATCGGGGTCAGGACGTCGGAGGAGCTGGCGGAGCTGTTTGGGGAGGGGATGGAGCTGATCAGGAGGGAGATAAGGCTGGACTTCTTCGCTGGGAGGGGCAACATGAGCGAGAGGCTGCGGAAGATACTGAGCAAGGGGGTGCTGATGGACGTCGAGAACCTGCAGGAGGTGCTGCGACACGACATCGGGGACTTGACGTTCGCCGAGGCGTTCGAGAGGACCGGGAGGATCATCAACATCTCGGTGTCCCCGGGGAACAACTTCGAGCATCCTCGCCTGCTCAACTACCTCACCGCTCCTCACGTGCTGGTACCTTCCCCTTCTTGTTGTTCCCTCGCTCGCCTCCCCCTCCTTCTCCCTGCATTTTTCCTCCTCTCGTCGCCTTTGCCCTCCCCGTTGCCCTCTCCTTGTTCTTGCAGAATCCCGCTATCTTCCTCTCTTCTCCTCTACCCCCTTCTCAAACTCCCTCACTCCCTTGGCTCTGCTCTGCTCTGCTCTGCTCTTCACCGCACTGCACTGCACTGCACTGCACTGCACTGCTCTGCTCTGCTCTGCTCTGCTCTGCTCTGCTCTGCTCTGCTCTGCTCTGCTCACCTTGCCGCAGGTCTGGAGCGCGGCCTCTGCTTCCTGTGCACTGCCAGGACTCTTTGAGTCGGTCGAGCTGGTAGCGAAGAACGCCAAGGGGGAGCAAGTCTCGTATCACATCTCGAGCGTGCGATGGACAGACGGCAGCCTGCAGTCAGACCTGCCGATCAATCGCCTCAAAGAACTCTTCAATGTTAACTACGTCATCGTGTCCCAGGTTCCTCTCGCCCCTTCCCTCCCTCCCTCCCTCCCTCATCCTCCTTTCCCCCCTTTTCCTCCGTCCGTCTTCCTCGCTCTCCCTGCCTTTCCACCTTCTTCCTCCTCCCTTCCTCTTCCCCCCTCCCTCTTCCTCCTTCCTCTTTCCATGCTCTCCTCGTCCTTATCCGATTTTATCAGACGAATCCGCACGCGATTCCATTCGTCCAGCATCTTCAGAGAAATCCTTCAAGGGTCGGGTACTGCGCCAGCAAGCCAGGAATCCTTGGTGAGCCAGCAGCCTCGTCAAGAGAAAGAGCGAGTTAGAGCAGTAGCTTCATTCCTTCTCCTCTTCTTCCTTCTTCTGCTGCTGCTGCTGCTGCTGCTGCTGCTTCTTTGAGAGAGGGAGGATGGGCGATTTTTCCTGAATCCGAAGGGAAATTCCCCTCTCCTCCCTCCCCGTGCCCACTTTTTCTGACCGTCTCCTCCTTCAAGGTCGGATGTGTTCAGCTGCAGGCTACTTCGTCAAGTCGGAAGTTATCCATCGCTGCCAACAGGAGAGACACGTTTACCTCGCTTCCCTTCTCCTCCTCTTCTCGTCCCGTTACTTTCGTGCGTTCTCCTCCTCCTCCTCCTCCTCCTCCTCCTCGTTCAACCCTCATTCTCAGTCCTCAGGTGGTCGATGTTGGGCTAGCACCGAGCTTCCTCTCCTCGCTCCTCAACCAGACGTACGTCGGTGACGTCACCATCGTCGCGCCAATCACCCTACAGGTTCTCCATCTCCCTCCCTCCCTCCTCCTCTTCCTCTACTTCTTTGTTTCCTCCTCCTCCTCCTTCTTCTCCTTTCCTGCACCCTTGCAGTTGCTCATAGGGCGACAGGGATATGCGACGATGATTTCCAACCCGACGCCCGAGGCACTGGAGAAGTGAGAAGATCTGGAGGAGAGGAAAAGGAGGAGCACAGTCAAGGGGAAGGAGGAGGAGGGAGAGAGGGAGAGGGAGGGAGGATGGTGACATATGGGCTGAGGGAGGAGGAGGAGGCGGAGACGGATTTTCGCTGAGGGAGCAGCAGGTTCATGCTTGTGGCGGAGAGGAGGACTTGGCCCAACATCGAGAGGATCAGACTTCAGAGTCAGCTAGAGATCGTCCTGGATCAGTGCGTCCGCCTCCTTGCACTCAGGGCGCATGAGCGGAGCCAGCAAACGATCCCTCGAGGGCTGGCGGATGCGACCAACCAGGGAAGGTGAGGCCGATGACAAGCTATTCCTTCCCTAGTCCACTCCACGTGACCTCCCTGTCCCTCTCCTGCCCTCCTTCCTTCCTCTCCTTCAAGTCCTCTCTATCGCCCACGATCTCTCGTTCCTCCTCTGACTGTGCTGGCAGGCGTGCGAGTTTGTCGATCGTAGGAGTTTTGCTTGACTCCCTTGCTCCACTGACTCCATTGCAGACGACGAGGCAGCGGCACACCCACCTGGATCTCAACCAACTCTTCGGCACCTCCTCCATCCGCAACAACTCCGCCGGGTGAGAAAGTTGCTCCTCCCTCTCCCTCGACTTTCCTAGCCGGCGCTGTGTGCCCCTTCCTTCTCTTCCTCCAACTTCCCTCTCCTTCTTCTTCTCGCTCCCTCGCCTTCCTCTCACTTCGAATGACCCTGCGCTTGCTCCAGAAACCTCCACTCGCTCAGCGTCATGTCAACTTCGGTCGCCTCTCCAGCTCATGCTCAACCAGACCACTTCTCCCTCCTCCCCACCAACGTGGACGAGAGCTCAGGGGAGAATCCTCCCAACCCTCCGCGACCTCCTTGTCTTCCTCGCAGCAAGTCGTGGGGCTTCGGGTCCCGCCTGCCTGCATGCGCCGCCAGGATCCACAAGCACATGTTCTCCGACAACGAGCTCAAGGGCCTGGCGCACAGGACGAGGAAGGCGGAGCTGCTGCTGTCATTCCAGGGAGAGCGAGGCCGGGGGAAGGAGCCGAGTCGTTCATGAGTCCTGCTGTTCCAGAACCGGCCAAGTGCGTCGACGGAATCAACAAGGGGGGTAACGGGCTGAGAGGAAATTTGAAAATCCTTTTAGTACCAAGAGAGTCAAAGAGAACGAGAAGAAGCGGAAAGATCGCACGGAACAACAAGCCCTTAGCATTGTAGTGATACATAGAAGCGCCATGTCACCAGCATGGTAGCATCGAGTTCAAACCCGCGATTCGAGTTGACAGCGCAGTGAGTGAAGGATGTTAATGTTTCAACAAGCTCCAGGAAGACTTATCAGAGCCTGATCATCCTAAACTTTAGTTCCCCTGGCAAACTTCCTCCCTGTGTCTTACCCCCGTACGAGCTTCACGGTGTATTCTTGGTCGAGTGTAGACTGACTCTTGCTCTTGAAAGTCTGCGCATCGTCAGCATGCCGCTGCGAGAAATTGTTTGCTCACAAGAGAGACTTCGGTTCCCTTAGGACCAAGCAGATGCTCTGCCAGCTGACGAGAAGTGATTAGCCTTGCCATAACTCCCTCTCAAATAGAATCACCTCCGCCAATTTCTTCCCGTAAACGTTGTATCCGTCGACAGCGACAATAATATCTCCGGTCTTGATCTTTCCACACTTCTTGGCTGGTCCATCGACAAGCGACTACAAGAACATAATGTCATGAGGAGTAATATAGAGAAAAGGAAGACTACCTTCACAGCCAAACACCCTGGTTCATCCGGAGATTTCTGGAAGTACGCTCCGATCCCAACTTTCTCGGGAGTTATCTGAACGTGAAGGCAATTTACACGGAAACATGATCAGTATATCAGTACATTGTCGCTACTGGTAGCTTTCGAACCTACAAAAAGCAAAAACGTATCAGCCATCGGGTGCAAATGCATCTCCACGTCAAAAACAAGGCAAATCTATAAACTAATCAAGTTTGAGTATGTACATACCATCGCCATTCGCGTTTCCGGATTCCCAGCTGGCCATACAACTTGTGAGATACTGACGAGAGAAGAGTTGTTCTTCACCTGGAGAGGATACGCTTCTCGGGTTTACTTCTAACTAGCAAGTCCCCTTCATCCACCTGCTCTCTTCGGTCCTGCCCAGTACAACGATCACGAATCCAGCAGTCGTCAAGGCATGCTAGCTTACACTTTGTTTGGCTGATGATCGCTTGGCACAGCACATATCAATCCCTGGAACCACACTCTGTTCGTTGCCCATTGCTAATCTGCCAGAACAATCTCACTGTCGAAGTTTGCAGATCACGGGTAATTCCTTTTGTAAGAGTTTCGAGTTCTCGAGTGAGTGTAGTTGCTAATTATGTCATCCTTTATGACCATCTTTCTACAAGCCTCTGCTTTTCCACAGCCTCTCCGATTTCGTTCTTTCCTAATTCCATTCAACCAGCTATGACCTGTGATATCATTTGCTTCGAAATCTAAATTTCAGGTGCAACGTTTGAAAACGAGAACATTGACATCTTCTCATCCCTGCGTCAATTAGCACTCGAGAGACACTGCACATCAGCGCTTCATGCTCACTCGGTCACATCACGGAAACTGCTGGTCAGGGACATTTGTCCCTTGTCAGGGCCATCGATTCGCACTATGAGGTTTCATATCAAAAAATAGCTCGAGCGAGGAGTTCTTCTCGCTATCAGACTGACCAGCGAGCTTCCCCATCATCTCTTTGCCCTTTATCCTCTGATCCCTCTGTCACTCGCTCCTCCTCCCCCTCCTCTCCCTCTTCCGTTCGTCCTGCTATCAGCAAAGTAGGCCATTGCCGCGATGTCTTTGAAATCGTTCCTGTCGATGGTGGCTTGCATCCTTCAACACGTCAAGCAAATTTAAAAAAGCAGGTCCAAAAATCACCTGAAAAAAGTATTTAAGAATATGAAACATTTCAAATTGTAACACTTTTTCGGAACCAATTCTGAAACGGGGAACCGCCCGCTGGGGTGTTCAATCGCCAACTTTTCAAATCAAATCATTTGTGGGTGGGGTGGTCTCAGTACCCCTACTTTTTAGAGCAAAATAATGGGCTGCGGTGTCATGGGGTATCCACCCTGGTTTAGTGACATCTCATATTTCCATTTTAAAAATGCCGGTACAACTTGGATGGGACCCGGAGCCCGGCGGCTCCCAACGGCTAGGGTAGAGGGTCCAGTTGAGAGGATGACTACCCCTGCTTTTCTCATATCATCAAGGGGTGGAGGGCTGGGTTACCTCCTAATGAACCCAAGGGATGCGAGAGGTAGATGACTCAACCTTATTCGAGGGGGTAGGATGAAAAGGGTCGGGTGAAAGATGCTAGTACTTTGTGTCATTATCTAAAGGTACACGGTTTTATATGTTAGAGTCAGAGTGAAATAGGGATACCATGAATGTACCAGTGTTGGGCCTGGGAGAAGGGGGGTGATCCTCTCCCTTGGGGGTTGTGATACCCCCAACAATTCCTAGGGTGGGTGTTTTAAGGGGGTGGGGTGCTAGTGAAATGCTACAGTGAGGGTACTTGAGAGGGGGTGGGGTAGGGTTGAGCCGCTGAGTCCTGTAACATTCAATGGGGTTCCTTCTGAGGCGGCGAAAAAGTTGTAGGGAGGGGTGGTTAAGACTGTTGTTGGGAGGGGTAGGGGATCTCACTTCTAGTGGGTGACACCACTTGTCCTCCTGGGGTGGGTGGAGAAGCAGAAGACTCCCCTCCATTTGAGTGTTTTTATCAGGGTGGGGGTACTGTAAGGAAGGGTGGAGGTACACTTTTGCGATGGACCAAATGAGGGGTAGGGTACTCTCTATAAATTTATAAATGAAAAGCTCAACAAAGATTGATATGACTAGAGTTGTCAGCCAAGAATAGAGAGTGGGAACTACAAGGGTGGGGTGATCCAGGTGGGGTAATGTGAGAATAGGGTGGTCTTGGGTTGCTAAAGATAGGGGATATTATTAGGTAATAAAAGGGGGTACCTCATTTTGACACGGGGTGATTATGATTCTGGTGAAAATTCAGTGGAGGGTGGGGTAGTTGTCAGATTGACCTCCTCCCTCTATGCAGTACGGAAAATGACGCGGGCGCGCTGGAAGGAGGTAAAAAGAGGAGGCGGAGGGAGAAGAGGAGACGAGGGAAGAGCAACACAGTTGATGGAAGGGAGAGAGACGTCCAGCCAACCTGCAACTAACCATCCTTCTGTGCAGATGCCAGATTGCATACATGAGTGTACAGGAGATCAGTTCACTCGTTTCAGGATCATCTTGCGAGACAGCAAAGCACAGGAAGAAGTCCAATTCTGCCGCAGGTCTGTGGTCTTTGTGTGATGTCTAATGTTCTGAGAATGCTTCCCTGCCTCCCAACAGACATGCAATTTCTCTCATATGTACGATAGCCGCATGTATAGCAGTCGTCGTCTTTTCCCATCATCGCAACAATACTGTGGCATACTCGAATGCACTGCTAGGAAGGAGCGGGAATGCGTATGACAATCATTACCAACTTGATGGCTTTGATCATAAACACGCGACACTGGAACAAAATATGGAGAGAGTTCTGCAGAAAATGCCCAAGGTATGCTCCACGAGGCACAGTCTGGTTCGCTGTGATTCTTTGTTCTGAAAGGTTGGAGAGCAAGAAGAGAAATCCTCATCACAACTGAAGATTCCGCTGGGGAAACTTTACAACCCCTCGGATGACCCGGACTCTCCTTCCGTAGAGGATATCACACAGACAGGAAGAAGGAATTTACCGGTGAAAACGCTAGATTTCTCGCTCTCCATTTCTTATCCTCACTCGCCCTTACGTACAGGAAATGCAGAGGCGAGCCGAAGAGGGTAAGATGAGAGCAAGGCTGGATCTGAAGGCCAAGGTTCCTTCTTGTGTCACCTTTTGCTTGGGCTCATGGAAACCTGGACAGGTTGCTCTGCTATCTCACAGCTACGACGACACGCAGATGCTGCAGATGAAACGGAACGTGCTCAAACAAAAGATCAGGCTGCACCCGTTCCCCAAGGGCTTCAGCAGGTTGGCTGAGAAGGGCCCCCCTCAGAGGCCCTCGAAACTTGAGGTTCGTAGAATGATCAGGAGGGACATCGAGGACGGCAAGCAGCCAGCACAGATACTCAAAGATGAAAAGAAGCTCCTAGCCAAGGTAAGGCTGAACTTGTCACGCGTTGCACTCTTCCTCAGGGCCTGACCATTGTCGTTCAATGTGCAGTTCCACCTGCAACAGAAGCTGTACGCTGAATGGAAGTTACTTTACTGAGACATACGGTCATCAGAGTCAGACCATTCATTCTTTTGAGCAAGATGCTCGTCCCTCACAAACGCAAGTCCTTTTATTCTTTATCGGTCACCCCGGTGATCATTGACAATTTTCCCGGCTCACTGGCAGTTCAACGTTTTTCCATGGCATCCTTTGAAGATTCATTGTTGAATAAAGTGAACTCGAAACATCCGACATGGTTGAGGAAATGGTTTTGAGAGAATTTCGAAAAAGCACAAGGCTTTCATCTTGAAACTGATGTTGTTTCTCGCGATGAATGATGATCAGAATTTACATTCCCACGACTCCCTGTATCATCAGGAAATGAGGGGGATGAAAGTGAGGGGGGGATGAGGGGCTAGGCTATGGATGCTCGCATCGAGCGATGCATGCGGTAAGTGAAGTGAGCAGGAGCAGGAGCAGGAGCAGGAGCAGGAGCAGGAGCAGGAGCAGGAGCGAGGAGCGAGGAGCGAGGAGCGAGGAGCAGGAGCAGGGGCAGGGGCAGGGGCAGGGGCAGGGGCAGGGGCAGGGGCAGGGGCAGGGGCAGGAGCAGGAGCAGAAGCAGAAGCAGGCGTTCATGAACTCCTGACTTTCACGGTCGTTTACAGAGTCAGCCACAACAGTTGTCTAGTGGAAGTAGGAGGATAGAAGGGTGACGATGACTATGTGACTTCAGGCTTGAACTGCTCAAGGAAGAAGAAGTTGCGGACGTCTGCCTGCAGTTGAAAGAAATCCTCTTGAACGAGCCCAACGGTGCGCATGCCGTTTTTGCGGTCCCTCCTTTCAAACTCGTTGCTGGCAGTGTGTAGCATACGAGCGCCTGTCACAGTTGTCGGCGACATCCATGGACAGTTCCATGTCCTGCTGCTCTGACTTCTTTCCTCCCTCACTGGCTGCGACTCAGGACCTCCTGGACTTGTTCCGAGTCGGCGGATTCTGTCCCAGCACCAACTACTTGTTCCTGGGAGACTTTGTGGACAGAGGAAGGAACGTCGGGCGGGGGAGGGCTGGTGTGGGACTGAGACAGCAGCGCAGCCACAGCGTGGAGACGATCTCCCTGCTTGCATGCCTCTCTGTGCGATACCCTCGTGAGGTCAAGGTGTCCGACGTGCGGGGAGTGACGAGGCGTGCAGGGAGGATCAAGCTCATTCGAGGCAACCACGAGTCGCGGCAGATCACCCAGGTGACGTGGGGAGGGAGGAGGGGAGCTGCTGGGCGATCAACTCGAGCTCTGGAGCCCCAGAGCTTCTGAGACGGTCGTTCAGGTCTACGGGTTCTACTCGGAGTGCGTCAGGAAGTACGGGGACGCGGCGGTCTGGTGAGAAGAAGATCAGGAGGGGTTGAGGTGGGGGTGTCTGATGGGTCGTCGGGGCAGGAAACATTTCACCGACCTCTTCGACTTTCTGCCCCTCGCTGCTGTCATCGACGAGTCCATATTCTGTGTGCATGGAGGTACCTCTTGCTCCTGCTCCTGCTCCTGCTCCTGCTCCTGCTCCTGCTCCTCCTGCTGCTGCTCCTGCTCCTGCTCCTGCTCCTGCTCCTGCTCCTGCTCCTGCTCCTGCTCCTCGCTCGAATTTTTATCCTACTTCTCGTTCTCCTACTTTCTTGACCTTTCACTAACACCAGGCCTTTCCCCGTCCGTGTGGACGATCGAACAAATATCACTCATCGACAGGTTTCAGGAGGTCGAAATTAGAATATCCACTCCCCTCTCTCTCTCCTCTCCTCTCCTCCCTCCTCTCCTCTTCCCCTCCCTTCCTTTTCTCTTGTTCTTACATCTTCCGCTCTTCGATCCCTCTGCTTGCCCGTCATCCCCCTCACTCGGCGCCTGCTCGCCGACTGAAGCTACTCCTTGCCCTCAGATCCCCAGTGACGGCGCAGCGGCAGATCTGCTCTGGTCAGGTGACGAGGATGCCCAACGCTTGCTTGACGAACGTTAATGGGAAAATTTCAGACCCAGACCCGAATCGTGAAGGCTTCAACCCGGTTGCCTCCCCTCCTTTCCGTTCGTCCTTTTCCTTCCGTGTCTTCCATCCCTATTCCTTTCTTTCCCTCCTTTTTCCTTCCTCCCTTTTCCGTTCCTGCCGTCCTTCTCTCCTCCCTTCTTCTTCCCTGATCCTCTTCTTCTCCATCCCTCCCGCTATCCTCTCCCCTCTCCTGACTCCCTCTACTAGTCCACAAGAGGAGCAGGCTACACCTTCGGCGCCGATGTCGTGCAGCAATTCCTGCAGGAGAACGGCCTCATTCACGTTCTCCGAGCTCACCAACTCTGCATGGAAGGCTACCAGGTGACAACGACGACCCGTAACCTCCCCCCCTCTTCCTCCCCTCCGCTGCTGCTGGTGCTGCTCCACCACCTCGCCCTCCTCCTCCTCCTCCTCCTCCTCCTCCTCTCTTTATCCATGCTTCTGCTCTGACGTTCTTCCGTCTCAACCAACATCAGTTACTCCTGCGCTTCTCTTTCGCAACCGAGCTGACTCTTCTCTTCTTGCAGGTCATGTTTGACAACTTGCTGTCAACCGTTTGGTCAGCGCCCAACTACTGCTACAGGTCTTCTGCCTTGCTGCCACCTCCTCGCAAACCTCTTCATCTACCTCCGTTCTCTTATAGTCACTCTCCTTCCTCCCTGCCCCTGCCCCTGCCCCTGCCCCTGCCCCTGCTCCTTCTCCTGCTCCTGCTCCTGCTCCTCATCTTGTGGCAGGTGCGGCAACTTGGCGTCGATCCTCGAGGTCGACGAGGCGCTTGACTTTCACTTCAACGTCTTCAGCTCTGCCCCCACCAGGCGCAGCGACAGCAAGAACAAGCTGAGACAGGACTTCTTCCTGTGACAGCCCAGCTGGGCTCCAGCAGGACCTTAGCAGTGATCCCCCACCCCCTCCTGTACACTAGACCCTTGTGAATGTATTGTGAATCGTTTGACACCGTCACATCTCAGCTCGTCAGATCGGCTCCATCGTGTCAGGGTCGTATCTCACGGTTCCAGCAGCTTGAGCCTTCTTTTCAAACAGCGCCTGGGAACGATGTCAACACCCCGACCCCCTTGCTGCTGCTCTTGCTGCTGCTCCTGCTCCTGCTCCTGCTCCTGCTCCTGCTCCTGCTCCTGCTCCTGCTCCTGCTCCTGCTCCTGCTCCTGCTCCTCCTGCTCTCCCTGTCATCTTTTTCTCGGACATCCCCTTGTCGTGCCCCTTCCCTTCCTCCCTTTTCCATGGACCTCCATCCAACTCCTCAATCGCTTCCCTCTCCCTCCCTCCCTCCTCAGCATCGCACCTGCAGCACGACATTAGAGGACGGCAGCTGGTACGATCGTCCTCCGTCTTCTTCGCGCTTCATCGGGTGCTCCACGTGTGTTCCTCCCTGCGAGTACAGCCCCCTGGCTCCGAGCTCAAGTCCAGCTGACCTCTGACGATCCTCCCTTACCTGGGCGTCAAGGGTTCCGAGCTGGAGGGCAGCTCGGGAAGGGGGCGAAAGCTGGCTGAACCCCGCGGAGTTGAACTCCCCCAGCTCGATCTGACGCTGGGGACGTTGCGGGGGCTGGGCACACCAGCACGAGACTGCAGGTCTGCCTTGATGGCAGACAGTCGCCTCGGAGCCTGAAGGATGAGGAGAGTGAGAAGAATGAGGAGGACCGGGAGTGAAGTAGGAAGAGGAAAGAATGGAGGAGAAATGCGCGGGAGGAAGGAAGAGGAGCGCAGAGGGTACGTGAAAGTGGCAAGTGAGGAGAGGACGAAGGCGTGGAGCAGCAGCAGAGAACCGTCTCGCTGATCAGGACGATCGAAGGTTTCCTGCCGCCTGCTCCATCATCCCTCAAGGCATCGAACGCCAGGTACTGAATGGGAGGAGACTGGGATTGGGACTGCGGCTGGGGCTGCTGCTGGGCAGGAGGGCTTTTTGTTCCTTCCTGCGAGGAATCCTTGCTCTCAGGATTGGAGGGGGTAAGTTCGAGCTGCAGGCGCTCCTCGACGACCTGCCTGCCCGTCAGTGCCCGCGAGTTTGCGACAAGTTTGTGCCTCGGGCCCGATGGAATGTTTGCGCTGCAAGCTGAAGATGCCCCTGAGATCCAGCGTGAGGGAGCTGGTTGTGTGTGTGTGTGTGTGTGTGTGTGTGGAGGGAGGGAGGGAGGGAGGGAGGGAGAAGGGCTGAATTTCATGGAGCGAGAGAGACGAAGACAGGGGAGGATAAGGAGGAGAATGGTCAGGAGCTGCTGACTTACTCTATAGAGTCAAACTCCAACGATCGCTTGGCATTGTTGAGCTTCTCATCGCCCTCCTTCTCCTCCTCAGTCTTGTTTCTCGTTTCTTTGTCCTTCTTCTCCTCCTGCCCCGATGGTCATCCTCAACCACACCCTTCCTCGGCTACTCACCTTCCACTCCGTCACCTTCCACACGCTGGATCCTGTGGGGCGATCGAAACAAATCAGAAGAAGAGGGGGATGGTGAAAGGGAACCTGAGTCCATGTTCGTATGTCTCGCTAGTAATCTGCTGATACCAACAGAAGGGAAGAGAGGGATTCAAAGAGGAGCGAGACGAAAATGGAGCAGAAGCAGGAGGAGGTTGAGGAGGAGGTTGAGGGGGAGGTTGAGGAGTAGAAAAGGGAGGACCAGGAGAAGGGAGTGAAGAACGAGGAAGGGAGGAGGCGGAAGAGAAGTAAGCTTGTAAGATAACAAGCTGAATCACACGTACTGATCAAGGCTGCCCTCGACTGTATCCTTGTGGATAATACCGCTGCCGATATCCTTGTTGAGATCGTCGTTGCGGTGGGAAAACTCGACATTCTCTTTCGCGCTGCCCTCCGAGCTGAAGTCCGCGATCTGACGGTCCAACCAGCTTCAGGAGGATCGCTACTAAGAGCTCTCTTCTTATCAGATACTCACGCTCTGCCCGTTCCGCTCCTCACTCCTCCCAGCTCCGCTGGAGATGCTCTCGGCCTCCTGACATGATCGTTGAGGACAAGCTCATAGCCAAACGACACACATGGAATGATCTGAGGACACTTGATGCTTGCAACACATCCAACACATTCATCAGCAGCCACTCGTTCACTTGTATCAGACCACCACAGGCATCGCGAGCTACTTCCTTACCTCTTCTCGCAAGTCATTCCAGCCAACCCCATTCTCCATCTTCCATGGCATGTGCTCTGGCAGGAAGTTGAGATCGACAAGGTTACAGCAACTCCTGCATCACGTGTTATGATCCTTCCAGAGCTGTCTGCTCTCTGGGCATCAAGCAAATATCTGTGAGAATCTTCAGCAAGATTCTGCGTCCCTCCTGCTACCAGCACCTCAACACCAGCGTATGCCTCTGCTCGGCAGCGCACACAAGCGGCGTTTTGCCGTCGATGGACATGCTGTCAAGGTTGGCTCCTAATCGTATCTGCACACCAACGGATGAGAAACCTCTGGTACAAGACAACATCGCCAATGCAAACTGACCAAACATTTCACTGCCCGCAAACTCCCCGTGAAGGCCGCAGCATGCAATGCTGGAAACATCAACACCGTCAGGAAGTTGCCACGAGAAGGAGGAGACCAACGGGTTCGTCCGAAATCGTCTGTGATGTTGACATCAAATCCCAACTTCTCCACCTGTCAAACTTTCACTGGCTCTTCAATTCCCCGCCGCGTAAACTCACGAGAAGACAGATCTGTAGGTCATCATCCGTTGCCGCCGCCTGCAGTTCCTCGTTCAACGTGTGCTTGAGTCTCCATCCCTCAGGCAAACCTGGTGAAGCGGTCCTAGGCCATGGTGCACCAGTGAACTCTGCTCCTCGGAGGACTGCCCCTCAGCTGATGTAGAGGAGGACTGGGTTGGAGGAGACGAGTGTGGGTTTCTGCGTTGGGTGTGGTTGTTCAAGGAAGAGGTGAAGAGGGAGGAGGAGGAGGGGATGGAGGAGGAGCCCAAGGATCGACGCTGATCGCAGATCCTGCAGTCTTCCAGTGCGCTCTGTTCGGCTCCCATCACCGCATTCCCCGATTCGAAGAGGGTGGTGTCGGAGAGAGGGGGTAAGGGTAGGGGTATCCAACTAGATCAGGCAAAAGGACCGGTATTTTTACAAATTCCGAATTAGTAGGGATTCCGTGGGGTGGTCAATGTGTCTAAGAGCACAGGAAATGGACGGTGGGTATTGTACCCCTCATATCCGAATAGATATGGGGGGTACTCCTTGTCAAAAGAATGAAATCGTTTTTTTGGTCTTTTACGAGGAACTGGAGTCTTGCTGGAACTCTCCGCCGAACTCTAAAGCAGCGAGGCGAAGAGACTGAGATGAGTCAGAGGAGGAGGAGGAGGAGGAGGAGGAGGAGGAGGAGGAGGAGGAGGAGGAGGAGATGATGATGATGATGATGAAGAAGAAGAAGAAGAAGAAGAAGAGTTGCTAAGAAAGGTCTCACTAACCTCGTCAAAGTCAGGAGCGTCCTCGTTTCTGCGTTGCAAGTGCCGTCCTTTCCATGCTCGGACCCGAACAGTGGCGGCGAAGGACTCGGAGCATCTGTTGCAGCAGTTGATGGCACGCAGGCAACAACGTCAATGCCTTACCCTGGCTTGTTGGTGAACCCTTGCAAGGTTGGGACCCAGACGTTCTGCTCGTCCTGATTCATGTTCGCGTCGTTTGCCTCAATCTGGACGAAGTCCCCAGCTGAAAGAGCCGTCAGGTGAAAACGCGATCGAGAGAGGAGGAGCGGACTGAAGGGGTTGAAAGCCTCGAGAGAGAAAGTCCTCTTGGAGCAGCTAAACCTCGCTTTCACCTGAGCTGAGTCTCAACAAGAGCTGCTGGCAGCAAAAGCAGACGCCAACGGAGCAGAGGAGAGAGAAAAGGAATCACATGATTCATTGTCCCACCTGATGGAGGTCGGTGGTGCGGAAGTTGAAGGACGTGTTCGATACGCGGAACGCAACGATCCAAGTGAGAGGAGTCAGTCCCCCGATCTTGAACTTCCCGCCAGTGACCAGGAGAGCTACTCGGTTCTCAGGCCCGATGACCTGTGGAGGGCCCGTCAGCACTTTCCTCTCTTCGTGCCTTGGTTTCCTGTAGGTAGATCCACCCGGAGGGGAACGCGGCGCCGTAGTTGGTCTCCACGTGAGCGAAGCCACCTCCGGAGACGCAGACGTCGGCGAGGTGATAAACCCTCGAGGAGTTTCCCATCCCGCCGCATCGTCTTCTGAGCGTGTACGAGCACTCGGATCCCAGCGACTGCACGAAGTAGCGGCAGGGCTGGCGCGAGGTCAAGGTCAGCGGAAGCTAGCTACTGTCAGTCTTACCAGCAGAGGCGTCCTGCCCAGCCATCCCTCAGGGCCCGCCTCGTTCTTCCTGCTCGTGAGGGAGGGACGTGAATGGATCTCGAGTCGTTCTCCCCGCACTCTCGCATACCCCCACGGCTTCGGCTGCCGCAGCTTCGCCCTGAGCTCGATGACCTCGTTCCTCTGCCAAGAGCGATGAGACATCATCGCTGAGAGGAGCAGAGCAGGAACCTCGTTGCGCAGCCTCATGTCTACCTCCACCCGCGCTCCTGCAGCATCCGTGATGAAAGTCGCTGCCCCAACCTCCCTGACCTCCGTCCAGGAATCTCATCGACCCGCATTCTTTACTTTCCCATGAGAAGGAGGAGCATCGACCTGGTCAGGCTAAGTCCCGTTTCGAGAGGAGAGAAGAAGGCATAGAGCCAGGCACCTGCTGCCGGTGCTCTCCAATCGATCTCGTTCTCGAACCCGCTCATCTTCCTGGGGAGGACGAGGACGAGGACAAAGACGAGGACGAGGACAAAAGAAGCGATGAAGAGGACGAGGGAGCAACAGATTAAACTTCGCCGGGATTCAAGTTTGATCAAATCTCACCTCTCGTCAAAGAGGATTGAGACCTCCTCCTGTGTCGAGACATGGTGAAAGGACTGAAGCTCGTACGGCTTGTGCCCTGCTCCCTGCCCTCAGATGGGCCTGCCACTTGCGCAAACCCCAGCACCTTTCCTTCCGAACCGAGGGGAGCTGAAGGAGATTGACACGTAGTGCTCGTTGAAGCTCTCGGATCCTGAACGGGACAAGGGTCAAATTGGCTTCCTATCAACCAAAGCCCTCAACCTGATCTTCTCATCGAGCCCACAATGAGAGAACAAGATGTTTTCATGGCAAGGTCGGTGATCCGGATGAACCAGCCGTCGAAGAAAGGTTTTCTCCTCGGGAGCGCCAGGGGCATCATGAAAGAAGTTTGACCAGAAGGAGGGAGCAGCGAGTCAAGAACGATGCCAACGACCGCCACGAATACAAACAGTGCGTTGGGAAGAGAAGGAGCTTTCTGTTTACCAGCCGCTCCTCCTGAATATAGCCTGTTCAGAGCTTCAAAGTTTCTGGTGCTTGGTCCTTCTGCAGAGCCCTGAACAGACCGCAAGCCGACATGCCCTTGCCGCAATGACTGCGCATTGTTTCTGAGCTGCACAGGAACTATCCCATGTGCTTGTATCACATGAGAACCTTGCATGATTGCAAATGTTTACCCGCTTCCTCCGCGCTTGTTCTGTGATACAATGTCAGCTTCCCTCCTCTCGTTCTCCTCTCTTCTCTCCTCCCTCCCTCCCTCCCTCCCTCCCTCCCTCCCTCCCTCCCTCCCTCCCTCCCTCCTCTCCCCTCCCTTCCTCCCCTCCCCTTCCCTCCCTCCCTCCCTCCCTCCTTCCCCGCCCTGTTGGATTCTTCCTTCCACCGGGCGGATCGAGCAACAAACTTGGAGTTTCCAATTTGAGAGATAGAATTATTGACCTTTAATATTCACTGTCTTCCAAAGAATGATTATATAAAGTCTGAGGCGGACGTGAAATACACGCGAAAAGTCATTTCGCGATTCTTCTTCAGTTGGATCATGCCTGTACTTGACTTTCATTGTATCTTTACTGCTATGATGCTTCTGTTTCATCAGATTTCTACTGTCACCGTCGATGATGGCCTGCAACAGATCGCAACGGCGAACCTAAAAGATGTTCTCTGGTCTTGAACTCAGCTTGGATCGCTGATCGTACTCAACGTAGCTCTTTTCCTGTTCCGAACAAAGTCAGACATGTTTGAATTGATAGGAGGGATAGGATGGGATGGAGATGTAATACCTCCCTGCGATGTGCGAACAAGTGACTCAAGTCGACTTGAGGAAACCTTCCCCAGCACGTCAGTCCTACAGGCAACGCAGCAGAGCAAGCAGCACATGAAGTCGTCTTGGGAGCTCCTCGAAGTCCGAAGGAAGCCCGAGACCCCGAGATTGCTCAGGGCAGCTTCGGCATGCTCGCGAATGCGGGGTTGGTTGCTCTTAGCAAGGCTCTGAGAGGGGAAGGACTCAGACCGTGTCGAGGACAACGGAGAGGAGGGTCAAGGGACCTGCAGGATCTCAAGGAGCCCTGGCAGCTTCATGATGGCTTCCCTGCATTCCTCGTCCGTCGCAAAGTTGCGAACGGCCCCGACAGCGAATCTCGTGATGATGGGATCCTCCGCACCGAGGGCTTCCTGGATGGGAACGAGGGAGTCCCTGCGGCAGAGGAAGAGGTCACTGGGAGGAACAGCAAGGAGGAGGGAGGAGCATGCCTGATGAGCAGGTACTGCTTCCTGACGTCCGGGACCATGAACAGGTTGCCGATTCCCAGCAGGGCGAAGATGGCAGAGTCAGGATCCCTCCCATTCAAGGTGACGAAGAGCCGCTGGATGGCCTGGGGAGGATGGGGGAGTCACATCGTCAGTCGCAGCTCCGGCGTGCGGATCACCATGGGCTCCCTCGAGATCAGAATTCTCCCTGAGCGCAAATCGTGTGAGAGAAGGATGCAGTTGCTACATCCCTCACCTTTCTCCTCCAAGCAGAAGTTTGCGATGGCCATGGACGCGTATCTCCCGCAGAGCATTCTCTCCTCCCCGGTCTGGTTAGAGCTCTGCTCCGCTTCGTCGAGCAAGAGACTCATCAACGCAGGGACGATCATGCTGGGACAAGACTGTCAGGAGCTACACTCAGGGTAAGACGAGCCCACCTGTTTTCCAGCAGCATCTGCCTCCCACTTGAATTCCACGACAGGACGGCGATGGACAGAGCAGACTCATGGAGGTCTCTTGCGTTTTCGGGCTGCAGGAGAACAAGTGCCATCTTTTGGATGTCGAACTGAACGATGCGGGAGGCGAGAGATGCGATGTAGCCCTCGATGCGAATCAGCGTCCAGAGAGCGGAAGAAGAATGTCCGTTCTGATCGCTCAGACTGTTCAATGGACAAGGTGAGCACATGAGATGCGACAGGTGGTTCTCACTCGTTCAGAGCTGTGATCGCTGTTGGTAACACGATCGAGCACAACTTCTCAATGTGAGAGTGCTCAGTAGACCCTGTTCGAATACATCATGAGAAAGATGAAACCATGTCACAGTCAATAAGCACGCACTTGCATTGGAGGTGGCCTCCTGCGACGACAGCATCTGTAATCTCCTTCAGTCTCGAGCAACTTCGAACGTGAAGGTGCACCTGCCGCGCAATCTCGAGCTGATCTTCGAGTTTCATGATCTGAGATGTTGCAGCTTCAAACTGAGTGTTCCAAGTCGCACATTAGAGTCACTGGCAAACACTTGTGAACCATACCTGCTCCTTTGGCACGTAGTCTTTGTCCATGTTACGGTTCACTGCGCCCTGTCAATATTGCAAGTATGGAGAATCGAGATTCACTCACTCAATTCGTTTCTCTCTGACTTCATGATCTGCAACTCCGCTTCCGTGGCATGCAGTCGAGATTCTAATTCCATCAGGACATCCTTTGGGACAAATCCAGCTGAGCAAAGTCAGTTGTGCTGGAATGGATGAAATCGAACATTATGCTCAGAGGACACCTGCCAGAGCGTTTTCTTCGATCCCTTGACTTTTCGCTAGATTTATCTGTAGACGGATCAGCAACTATCGTAGGTTTTGCGCTAGAGGCCACCTTCTCATTTTGCAAATCGGCTATGGTCATTCGAAGCATGCTGACTTGCTCCTGAGCGCCACATGTCAAGTGATAGCCGCAGGACAAGCAAACTGTGGACCTTGTACTGTTTCAGCTCTTCTTCTGCTTCGAAGTGAAGTCGCTGCTCTGCAAGATACTTCTTCTTGAGGTTCTCTTTCTCTTTGTCCACTGGTCGTACACATGTCAGCGATGATATGTCTTCAGCATGGATTCAAGCTCCAATCACCTTGTGGATAAGAGCTCTCGGAGATATTCTCAGCTGTAATGGCAGGAGCCTGAACACAGTGTCAGCACACATTAACGACTTTCATCCGGGATTTGGCCAAGTCATGGTTACCTCTGGAGATGGAGCCTTGGGCCTGTTCACCTTCTCAGCAGGTGTTGGATCTCCCCGCGTCAGATCGAGATCGAAGCGAAAGGCTTCATCCTGTAGCTCTCGCAGGAAGCTGAGGTTCACAAAAGAGCCTCTTTCCCCCATGATCATCCTCCTCAACTCGTTCCAAGACTTCCCCGCCACCTGGATCAAGAGTGCGTCATAAACGCGTATAAGAATCTTCACGCCTCACCATGTGACCATCAACGTTCTCAAGTACATCTCCCGGTTGAATGACCCCTGTTGCAGCAGCAGACGATTCTGGCATGATGTAATCTACATAATATCGGGATTTGCTATCAATCTTGAAGTAGAGACCGACGCCACACTCGAGGTTCTCTGATCCCACCCATCAGACCTACAACCAACACGAGCAATCAAACAACACCTGTCCTTGTGCCGTTGGATGGTTTAGCCTGGAAATTCTCCATGTATGCGGGTGAGAGGCTTGGGTTCCCCTGGCTGGATGCAGCATAGGGGTTCGTCGGCATCCTAGGTTCGGGGGTGCTGCTCGAGCCCAGCACCGATTGATTCCTCGGCATCATCGGACTTGCGGACAGGCTTCGTTTCCTCGATTCCGAAGAAGCTTCAAGGTGTTGGCTGTAGATGGCTCCATCCGAGGGCTGCTGTGGCCGCGCGACTTGACTTGCAGCATACTCACTTGACTGAGCAATGATCGGCTTGCCTGATATCGGGATTTGAGATCCAGGAGAAGACATGCTGGGATTTGAGATGCGTCTAGCAGTCTGGTGAGAGCTCGGATCCATGTTTGGAGGCAGCCCACTCGATCCTCCCGGAGATTTGACCAAGTTTGGGATAGCGTGCTGCCCCCCTGATGGGCGCTTCATCTGGGGGTTGAACCCGAAGGGCTGCTGGGGAAGCATCGGTTTCATCATCTGTGCATGCTGTTGGGAAGGAATTTTCTCGCCATGGAGCCCGAGAGTCATCGACGCCTGATTATGAGCACCTCCTACAGACGCCCCATACATGGGCATGGTGGTAACAGGGATCGGTCCTCCGAAGACTTGAGCCCCGGCTGGCATCCGGTGCCCCCCGGGATGCGCCTGGCGGTAGTGAAGGGAAGGAGGAGCATGCTGCATGTGGGTGGGAGAGACGGGAAAGGCTCCCATGAACGGCGGCATGCTTGCTCCCCGCCGCTGCCTCACCGGTTCCATGCTCCAGTCGCTCAGAGGACCGCAAGTCCCACCCCCTCTGTCCCTTCCGAACCCGACACTGGTCACTACCCCACCCCAGCGTTCACGTCATTACCCGCGCCTAACCCCTGTATGATCATTTGATACCCCTTCTACATGCTGTCACTCCCTGTATCACCCCTACTTTTTGAAGAAAACTTTAGGGAATAGGGTAGGTGATCTTCTCACCCCTCCCACTTACTGTCACAAGCGGTGCTCTGAAAACAGACTTCCCCTTCCATCGATGAGGCACCCTTCTCGCAGTGGTACCACCTACCCCGATGCTGGCCCAAGTTCATTAAGTGGTTTGGACCCCTACCCCTCATTCCCCCCACCAGCATTATCACTTCACCCCACCCTCCCCCTGCCCCTACATTGTAGCTATCAGTGTAGGTTCTGAGTCATGCCCCCCTGTGGTGCCACAGCCATGTCGGATGCCCCATGGGGTACGGTACAGTACCCCACCTACCTCTCCTCGCTGCTTCCCTGGAGCCCTGGCACGGCACCCCTGATATTCTCCCATTTTAGCATGGCATATCAACGGTACTATAGTAGCAGTTACATCATCCGGCCCGGCGGGCCCCCAATCACCCACCCCTTTACTAGGCGAGAAATCTCACCACCCACCCTCACGGGTAATTTGCCGGGTTAGGACCCCGGCCTTGTTTCTTTGCCATACTTTGTACTTGAGGGACAGCAGTCGGCAGGTTTAGGTTTAGTTCTCGCTGTCTTTTCTCTTCTCGCCGTTTGGCCTGTGCGACAGTGTCAGGGTCAAGCCTCCTCGACTCTCCTGATTGTCCTCGTACTGCTTTTAACTTCACTTTGAGTAAAGACCGTCACGGTCAGTCCGATCACGGCGCTACTTTCGAGTTTCTTCATGCTCGTGTGTGTTCGTGGTATACTCGTCTCCTTCAATGAATGCGTTCAACACTGAATCCTGCACCAACATGAGGAGGCTTAAAAACCTGAAACTGTCGCACAGGCCATACGGCGAGAAGAGAAAAGACAGTGAGAACCAAGTCTTATCCTGCCCACTGCTGTCCCCCGAACTTGACTGTAAGATGTCTGTCCGCTCGACAAGCCCTACTTCTCCGGATGTTCGGTCTCTCAAATTTTGATCCTTGCAGTTTCTTTAAAGCAGGTATCCCTTTGGCATGGTTGCCAAAGTGATACAGCTCCCATGCATTTTTGAAGCACTTGGCTTCTAGAGAAATTCGAATGGATTTCAGATTCGCCTGTTGTATACAAGAATCACGGTCATCTGACGAATCGCCATTGACACATTCTGTTCGTTGGCATCCACAGAAAACATAATTCGATAGCGTTCTGCTTCTCTTCCTGCTGTTGCTGTTGCTGCTGCTGCTGCTCGTCATCAACATCCATTCTGGTGATGTTAGATCCTCCTACATGCCTTCTTGCTTTGGCTGCAAGCTGATCCTCAGAAATTGATGGAATGGCTGATACGTTTCCCGTGTGCGTAGAAGCCATGAATGGCGCGAATCTGTTTGTGCAAGGGAGTGGGGTGGTGGGGCCACACATTTCTATAAGATTGGACAGTGATGCTCGTGTCATGCATCTGTTAGACGCTTGTCCGGGCTACATCTTACACATCTAATTATCTCTAACTCTGCAACGAGCTCTCTCTCGCTAGCATCTCACCTACTCTCTTTGCTCTGGTAAAACATCTCCTCGCTTACTCAAGAAAACAACGACGTCGAGGCTTGATCGAGAGTCACATCTCCTTCGTATTGCTCTTGACAGCGCGCCTGCATTGTCTGACTTCTTTGTCGGATGGATTCTCTCCTTTGCCTGCCGGAAAGCATGCTGATAATCCTCCTCCTCTATCTGCTCCTTGCCCATGAAATAATCGTAAAACGCGTCTGTGAACTCCATCGCCGTCGTGTCCTTCACCTTGGTCCTCCAGCAAACGACATTTCTCACTCCCGCACTTCGCATTCTCTTCCCCAGCATTTCCGTCTGGCAAGCATTGAGCACAACACACTCCACCGTTCCTGTCAGCGTCTGTCCCACGGCAACCCTTCCCACAAGGCTGCAAAGCTCGCCCATGTCGTAAACAGCCGGAGTAGCGATGCTGGGATGGTCTTCATTCCAGATAAAGCCGAAGTTCTGCTCTCCGTGCCCGGCAAAGTGGAGGACGCGGACGTTGAAGCCGTGATGAGAAGTCAGGAACTTCTTGAAGTCCGAGAAGGTGGGCTGGGGGTTGACGTCGCAGTCGAAGGCAAACTCAGGGTCCATGTGCTTCCTCATCATCTCCTGCGCCTCTCCATGCACATTCACCGACTCATAACCCTGCGGGGTCGTGAAGAAGGCAAGGAGCTTGCTCCTTGGCTTCGTCGCCGACTTGCCATCTGCTCTCAAGATCTCGAAGGAGACTTCGGAGGAGCTCAACCCCTTCTCGTTCCTCACGACGATAGAGTACGTGGTCGCTGGAGTCGGCCTTCTTGCCGTTCCACAGATCACCGCGTCTTCGTCCACTGAAAGTCCCTCGGGGAGAGGAGGACGCACGTCAGTCTTGATGCAGACAAGATGTGGCTCGAACTTCTCTGGCTCCGGCTCTTGCTCCTCCTGTGTCCACATGCGAGGAACGAGGGACAGGTCAATGTGTCTGCAGGAGATGGACGTCTGCGACTTCACCGGCTCGATCTTCACGTGCGAGCCGAGCGGAATCTTCCGCATGCCTTCAGACAGGTATTGAATCTTGGGCTCCAAGATGCGAGCGATCTTCAACCGCACGTGGGCGCAGCAGTACATCCCTCCGGGCCCTCTCCCGACCACTGTGAAGCAATTTGTCTGCATGGCGCTCTTAGCGACCCCCGAAATCACTCCAGTCTCCTCTTCCAGGTGGACCCCAGGAGGAAGCGCAGGATGAATGGAGAAGCGTGTGATGGTACCGCTCCAGCTGGGGATGAGACAGGTCTCACTAGAAGCAGGCGACCGGAAGGCGTCAATCGCCAAGAAATTGCTCTCGTCGTAGGAGAACTGGTTGCCCGTGAAGGCTGACGAGACGCTCGTGTAGCTGAGGTCATGGGGCGGCTCGAAGCTTACCACCTCTATGAGAAAAACCGTTTGACACCCTCCACCTAAGTTGCTTGCCGTGACCGTGACCATCCACACGCCGCAAGCAGACGGCATGCCTGAGATCTTGCCGGTCGCAACGTCGATGACGAGACCAGGAGGGAGATCAGCAGCATCGAAGATCGGAGATGGGAAGCCAGGAAAGAAGGAAGGGAGCGGACACCATGCAAACATCTCGACATTGTGATACAGCTGGAAGACGACCTCTCCCCTATCTGGGCTGCTGCTGTTCTTTCCAGCACAACGCGGGCAGACATCGAAGGAGCAACCAGAAGCTCTGCAGACAAACCAGTCGAGTCGATGAGCCTCCCCAACGGCATCGCAATAGTCGCAGACTACCTTGACGCCCCAGCCGGCATACCTTGTCAAGATGCCGCCGCACCGACAGCGCAGGCAGCGACTGCAAGAGTAGCTGAGGGAGGCGGGAGGACATGGCCCAGCAGAGAAGAAGAGATGGACTTCGTGCCTGCATTCCCCGACAAAGTTAGATGCGATGAGGTCAAACTGGTAATGGTCCTCCTTCTCCTCCGCCGGCAGGTCCCATTTCAGATCGCCTGTAACCTCCTCCAGCACAAACCCTTTGGGCAGCTTTGAGAAGGCAAAGAGTCTTGGCTGGGGACTCCCATCGTACAAGAGCTCCGCACATCCTGCCCCCTCAGTCTTCAGAAACGTCAAGAAAGGTAAATCTCTCCATCCTGTGACAAGAGGAGCCGAAGGTTTTCGTCGACGTTGACTTGTGGTTACCGCCATCTCAATGTCCGAGCGATCGTTCTGGGCAGAGCCAAGGGGCTTGTACGTGTAGAAATGCCTTGTGTTGTCCAAGAATCGCCGGAATGTGACGAAGAAAGACAGTCGCTTCATCAATGCAACCACCACATTCGTCCTCCGGCGATAAAGAAACGAGTCCAACAGCTTCTCTTTCCTCCACAGTCTCTGCTTGCATCTACTGCAGCTCCTCGGCCAACGAAACAATTCTCGTCCAAGAGTCTCAAAAGTGAAATCTTGATAACAACCTGAAATATAAGAAAACTCGTGAATCCTGCTGTTTGCACACACGCAGCAAATACGGATGCCAATAACTATGCTAAAATGCAGCGTCCGTAAGCAGCAGATCAAGCTGACAATCATGAAGAAAAATCCCAAGACCATGAAGCTGCTGTTGAGGTTACTCGGAACTTTTGCATAGAGTATTTCATCTTCGCTACAGAGCGGGCAGAAAGCTCTGTAGTCTACACGAGAATACATCAAACAGTCGATGCTCTCACAGCCTCCATAATGTTCGGCAAACTGCCAGTCGACCTTAAGTGTGAGAAGAGTTAAAAACAACTGTAGAATGAAAGTGGTGAAGAAAAACATCAAAACACACTGAAATCCCTTGGGAACTTTTTTCATCGGTACCGGCGAATAGCATGGACAGCAATCATCGCGCAAGCACTTTGTCTTGTACGCACATGTTCTAAGATACACTACAAACATAATGGCGTGACTGGAAGCAAAGAGAATCCACCAAAATTTCGTCCAATTGAGCCAATTTCCGACGTAGAAAGCAGCACCAATGTTCCAAGAAACAAAGCATGCGAAGGTGAGAATAGCAAGGGGGATCCACCACAGAGAAGAGCGCTTCCATTTCTGCTTGTCCCAACAACAGCCGCAGTTTGTACACGATTCATACTTGCAAGAACCATGTCCGCAGACCAAGATGGACGTAACTTCCTCCCTCGAGCATTGACAGCTCAGGTTGACAATGTTTTGATTGTCTTCAAAGCTTTCTTCCATCTCGATTCCAAGATCCTCCAGTGTCAGCTTCTGCGAAAGAGGCAAACCATCGATGGGGCAGGAGTTGTCTTTCCATTCGCTGCTGCATTCAGCACATTGAGATTGTGATTTCTTCATCTTCCTTTCAAAATGAATTGCTACAGCAATGATAATCATCCCCAGAGGAACTGGAAGTACATAAGCAGTGCGCAGGAGATTCCATGCATGCTTTTCATAACAAACTGTAACTTCACGCCTGTCCCAGTACGAGATGTATTCGAAACCGCGGATGGTGTAAGAATCTGTTGGACACTCAACGTTGCAGCTTTGATTAAGGAGTGGCAGACCAGGCGATGTGAAGTTGAGACTCAGAGCAGAAGCATACCAGCCTGCTGGAGCAGAACAGTCCTCACATGCCATCTGGACTGACCAACATTCCATATTCCCCTCCTTCAACACATCTGCGAAACTGATGGCGTAGCACGCTTCGTCGATCTCTGTCTTGAGACAGAAATACGGAAAACCCAAAGACTTAACCAATCTCGCGCACGCAAACATCTTCTTTGATCGTTCCTGAGCAATCTCGATCTGAAACGAAGAAACCCTTGTCGGTCCGTTGAGTGTGTTGCTGCTGCTCTTTGCGGTTGGAAAAGGTCTGAAATTTAGAAAGCGCCCGACCTTGCAGCTTTTACATGTGTTATCTTCCCCGCCATCGCCATGAAGCAACAACGGTGTGAAAGTACTCCTCACGTGCATGTATTGAACTGCATTTGAAGACAATCTGCCGTCTCTCATCAATGTGACAGCACTGGTGACATTCCCATAAACAAGACAGAGCACCCTCATATCTGATGTCGTTTGTGAGGCTTGATAGCAGAAAATAGCAGAATCCGAGCTGCTCTTGGCAAGAAAAGGTTTTGAATGGGAGGAAAACTTTTGAAATTGAAACTCAAGCATCTTGATGGGCACGTCAAGCTCGCCAGACTGGAGAATTTCGCATGCTGTCATGCTGCTGATGATGACGGGCGGATTTTCCTTGAATGCACACATGCACATTCGATTTGACGGGCTGAAAATGCCCGTGAAGAACAGACCAAACTTCTGGCACACAACCGAGCAGAAGTCAAACATCAACTCCAAGCTTGCATCTCCCTCGCTCAGTTCGCTAAGCTGCAGCAGCTCGACGTCATATGACCGACACTCTCCGGAGCATGGCACACAGTCTCCGTTGCTCTCCCTGTATCCCACATCACACAGCCATCCGCATCGCGGTCCATTGGAGGCCCAGCGAGAGTTCCCAGGATTCCCAGCACAGGGCACGCATCCTGTGCCGTTGAAGTAAAAACCAGAGAAGCAGAGGTCAGTAGCAGCGCTCGTGGACATCATGATCATCATGATAGATGCAGCTAAAGACGAAGAGAGCAAACGACATCTTCGCAGTCCCCACATGTTTTCGCTGTTCCTCCCTCAAAGCTGGATCAGGAGCCACATCTTTTCCACTTCCCACCTGATCATCTGAGGCAGGCTTGAACTACCGTGACTGCCTCGGAGCGAGACTCTCGAATCGGGGGTTTACTCAAAGTTAAGTGAAATGCAGTACGAGGACAATAAGGAGAGGCCCAGAGGAGAGGTCGGAGAGCCCGAATCATGTGACGGATCACTCGCACTGCAATCAACTTGGTACTGATTGAAGATGGTGACCGTACTGGCGGCCAGAGGAAGTATCATGGGATCGGGCCGGGGGACTGCAACTTTGGCAAACTTTGCATGTTTGCACAAAACTCAAACCGTAAAACACTGAAGACAAGGATCGGCAGAGAAGACACCGTCCGTCGCCGCCGCGGCTTCGCGACATGAGACTCAGACTCGGAAGAATAATGGCGAGGGGAAGACGCGCTGGGACGGTCACCTAGCCTAGTAGTGGGAGAAGCCTGCCCGGCCGGCGTATAGAATTAACTGAGGCGTTGAAGTGAATCGACTGGGGACTCGGGATGATCCGATCAAATGGGTCACCTGACCCAGGCTGAGGCGGCGCTAGACTAGACCGTCCGACCCTGCGTTTGAGAGTCACGCCGGTACTCGGACTCAGTGAGTAGCCTCCGCAGTGAGTACCGTGCCAGTGACTGGCGGCCAGGCCCCGGCGGCCGCGGCTGCGCCGGTAGGCACGGTGGCCACCGCGGCAGTCACGGCCGCGCGGCGCGGCCCCGGCGGCCGCCCGGCCGCGCGGCGAACTTCCGGCGGAAGCGGCACTGCAGTGCGCGGCCGCCGGGCACAGTGGCGGTGGGCAGTGCGGCATGTGCCACGGTGAGGCCCGGGCCCGGCCGCGCGCGGCGGACGGTCCGTCGGTCCGCCGTGAGTGTGAGAGCCGTACGGTACAGGCACCGGCCGCCGGGGCCCGGCCGGCGGACCGGGACTGTGACACATCTTAGTGGGACAGCATTTTTCACAATAATACAAAGCCGTGAAAATTTGCTGCCTTTCCTATGCAATGCCCGAGGCGAACTGCAGGTTGTGACATCATGATCGTGAAATCATGTCTGTTCGGCACGGCAGCGCACGATCAAACCCCGACGAACCAGCCTCAGATCCTTATCTGAATAAATAGTTTTTAGTTTTTGCGAAAATAGTATTTTACAATCAGAATATCTGTTTTAAAATTTGAACAACTCTCCTTTCGAGTATGATATCAGGTCTCCCCCCACTCGCCCCCGACTCAACCAAGATTGGCGTACTGCAGTAAAAGTCTTATCTGAAGCTCAGCAAGTACCTTCACTCACCCCCTTTTTGGGCATCACATTTTGGGTAGTAAATGCCTCTCAATACGGCTATGACCCTACCCCTGGGACGTAACAGAAATACCCCATTGATTCACATGGATTCAAGGGGTTCGCTTTTGGAGGCGGTCCGCCAACTTTAAGAAAAGGAAACTACCCTTAGGTCTACCCACATTTGCGTTGTCAGGAATATGGGTAGGGTTAATGAGAACAGTCAACAAAATGGGTGGGTACTGATAAGATGGACTTTGTTTTGTAGGGTGGGGTTTGATTTGGGGTGATAAAATAAGGTAGGGTTGTAGCACTTCACTGTTGAAGCAGTGATTATTTACGACAGTGTATATACCCTTTATCATTGCTATAATAATCATCAGGCCGGGATGGGTACAATCATTGCTAAATGAGCTAGGAGTAATGGAATTCTTTGAAGTGGGTAGGGTAGTAAGTTGCAGGGGTACAATTCAATCGGGTAGGGTAGTTGTGGGTGGGGAGACGCTAAAAGGGGGCTCCTTTCATGCAGGGAGAACGAAACGGAAGGAGGGAGGTACACAGGAGAAACTGACCTTGAAACGGAGCCAGAGAGAGGACGGTTAGAGGCAACAACAGGATTCGACAAGAGAACAAGAAGAACCATCGCGGATCGATCAGTCTGCAGCGTGTGAGGGGCGAGGATAAGGACACATTTCCGAGCTTCGTAGATTGTACCCATTTAAGTTGCACGATTGCTCTAAGAGAACAAAGGAAGTAGGATCAAAGAAAGCTATACCTTGCTGTTGGACGACAGAACCGGACACACAAATCATCTCACAGAGCGTAGCCCGGCAAGGAGAGATGCACAGCAGATTTGGAATGGGCAGCCTTCAGCTTTTCGTGGCTGTGCTCCACGTTTACACAATCCAGAATGAAGTTAGAGCTTACATCCCTGCCGCTCCGCTCAGCAAATCAGTTTTCAACCGTGCGCAGGGCAAGTCGTCGATGAAGCCACAAACTAGGATGTCTCTCCTCTCCGCTCCTGCGTTGCTCGAGCTCGCAAGCTCCCCACCAGTCCCAGTCCAGTGGATGCTGGACGTGGGCGTCGACTTCGACGAGCTCGTGCGGCCGGCGCTTCCTCTTGCTCTTCCTCTCGCGTTCCGACAGATGAAGAATGTCCCGACATTGCAGAAGCAGCTCGAGGACGCCATGTCGGCCAAGACCTTGAAGGGTGAGCGAGTACAATCTTGTGACGACTCGCGCCTGACTATTCTATGCGCAGAGAGACGAATGGAGATGGAGCAGCAAGCTGAATTCAGTAGCAAGCTCGCGCTCACGCTGTACTTTGAGGGGATCAGCAAGGTGTACGATGTCGAGAAGCGGCATGCCTCGGAGGCGGCGTTGGAGACTCAGCGGTTGAATCGCAAGTGCCCTCTATCCAGCGAGCGATCCTCCCAGGCGTTCACATGCAACGACAACGAGTGCGAGATCGATCTGGAGGAGGTGGAGGAGCCGTACAAGATGCGTCTGTACAGGACGTTCACCAACATCCTGAAGAAGGACTCAGCCAAGAAGGAGCAAGCGGAAGGCCCAGCTGAGGCCGTGCATGCTCCCTGCGGGATGACGCACTGCAACGGGGCATGCATGCAGCAGTCTCTGCACGTGTCGCTCGCCAAGACGCTGGACATCATCGGGGTCAGGAACAGGATCGACTCAACGAGGCACGAGGGCAAGGAGTACATGGATGTGATCGTAGAGCACGGGGGGATCGGGCATCACGGGAGCCAGCAGCAGCAGGAGCAGACTAAGATTGTCTTCCAGACGGCAAAGGACGTGTCGTCGTCTTACATGCTCGCGAAGCAGAGGGCCCTGCAGAGGGAGGGATGGGTCGTGATCAGCGTACAGGAGAGCGATTGGAGGACGCTGCATTGC